CCACCTAGAGGTGGGCGTCGGACTGCTCAAGGTTGGCAAAGCACTTACCACCATTCGACTTTGCAAAGATGTCTTCCGGTATGGGTAGTGGGTATTGGTGGTCGTCAAGCGCAGCGTTCAGTCCAGTGGCGAAATCAGCACAGACGCGTTCCTTGCCATTTCACTTTCTTCACTGTGACAATGGGTGCGGCCCATGAGGAGTAGTTCGCAGGTGTAATGAGGCCGGTCCGTTTTAGTCGATCAAGTTCTTGATCAACTGTTGGCAAGCTGCATACGGCACCTGTCCCTTGGTCTTGAAGACTGGCTTGGCTCCTGGGCGCAGGCAGAGCGTTGCCTTGAATTTTGTGCAATGACCGACACCATTTTGAAACACGGAAGCAAACTTTCGCTTCATCCTGCGTGTCATATCCTCAACTGATTTCGTTCTGGATTTGCACGGACTCGACTAGAGATATCGTTTAATGGGACGTCAAAGAGTCCTAGCCTCTCGATCCAGTCGCTTCCAAGGTTTAGATTCGGTCGATCCGTCTGGTAACACGTTCCAGTCTTTTTCACCCCGTTAACTGCGATTTTGTAGGTGATTTTTGCAACCGGATTCAGCGCTCCGCCAGATGCGTTGTGATCCGGTTTGTCAGAAACGGTAACCGCGGGCCTCTTGATGTGGTTTCATGTGTTCTTGTAAATCTTACTTATATCAGAGGCTGTGTCAAACTGTAAACTGGAAGGAATCCCGTTCGTAACTACGGTAATGTAGCGTCTGCGGGGTTTGAACTCACACTGGAAAGCGGCAACCACCGATAGGGAGCCTGCAACGGTATTTTTGATCCTCTTCTTGGAACGGAACGGTTTTGTGTTCACTGGTCGAAATTGCTTGCACTGTTCTTCCTTGTGGTCCCTTTTATGGCACTTTTGGCAGGTATGCTTCTTAAAGGGATAGAATCGGGCGTAATACCACTCAACGCATGATCAACAGGCAGTAGGCGGTCTGTTTTGTAACTTCTGAGCAGAACAGTCATGCATATTTCACTTGAAACCTGTCACATCATAGATGTTTCATGGTTGTGCGGAAGGATTCTCGATCATTGTCGTGTCATCTTTCAGAGTCATCAATCTTTTGCATTCGGCCGTTAGAGATTCCAGGGTGGTGTCTGGGCCTTGATCCAGCTTGGAGAGCAGTCTTGTGCATATCTCGGCATCCTGCGGGGACTGCAAGGCACTGATAAATATGAGACACGAATTGGTCATCTGTCAAAGAGCGCAGCTTGAAGCGTTCACACTCACAGTTGATCATGTCTGCCAGCGCCCCATTGTCGTCTGTGTCCCGCTTGAGGATTTTCAGACACTGATAGCCAATTCTGAATAATGATGACGATTCACAAAAATTTCGCTGTGTTGTGACATCGCTTCGGCAAAGCTGAGGTCTTTCGGCTCTTTTGGCAGTGTGTGATCAATGGATCTTGAATATTCATTTATGCCAAGTTTATGGAGTAGCAATCGCATTTCCCAGGAGTCGTCCTGACGGCTGAAATCCGTCTGAACCACGCATCGAAAGTGCTTTCGGAATCAGGATCATAATTGAATTCAGTTATAGAATTTGGAGAGCAGATTAACGGAATTTGTCTGCGTGTTCCGCGAAGTTGTTTCTGAAGACTGCCGACCGCGCCACTGCGTCAAACTTTCGATCAGCTGCATTTGCGTCTCCATTTTGTACCTGATGTTGCCGTAGTAGCATTCGAAATTGTTCTGCAGCCAAACTCATTGCATTGCCACTTTTGTCCGTCGCCATTTGTTATGGTCTACTTCCGTCTGCGCGATTCCAGTTAAACTGAAATCGTTCTCTGCTAGCTCCGGATCCCAGTCGGAAATCAAAACAAAATGCTTGGAGGCAAAGCGCCTTGCAGAACTAGCTGCCCAAACGGATACAAGTAATGTGGAAACCAGTGAGTATTTATTGGCTTACCCAGGAATGCTCGCGTTTACGAACAGCGAGGTTAGCTGTCTTGATTGGTAGTTCAGTTTCGCTATCCAATGGGGAGGTAGGTACATACGTCGTGTAGACCTGAATGTACCTGCTGCGAACATTCCTGAAACGTCTTGGTATTTCCTTTGTACATCATTGGTTCGAAACTTTTCCCAATTGAATTAATGACTTTTCCGTGGAGATTTTACATTAGTAGTGTTTGCGCAGCCACTGGGTCCGACCAAAGGAGAACTAGGTCGTCCACATAGTCAATGTTTGTCAGTTGTCCCACTGTTAGAAGACGAAGGGGATATAGGAGGAACTTGGTACACCCCACGTATAGTGCAAGACCCGAGAGACAGCTACCCGTAGTACCTTTTCTGGCCTCAGGAGTCGCTGTAGTTAGACGAGTAGGCATACCAAAAGCTGGCACCATCAGCTGAGTCGAGGTCGGCTTTCAATACATAAATTATCATTGACAGTCGTCTTGACTAACGGTAATTATGTGGTCATTGAAGTCTAGACCAGAAAGCTTGATATGGCCACAGAGTTGGTCAGTGCTATTTTACGGATGTACTGCGATGCAGTCACATTTTAAGTGGCTCTGGGCCGGAAGGGTAAGGCGTTCTTTTTGAAACTCAAGGGTCACTTGTTCGAAAATACGTCGGTGTGACGTGCCTGCGTGCTGCATATACTTTGCACTTTTTCGCTTTATTCTGAGATGGTAAGATACAAGCCATCTTTAACTACTGGTGCCCTCAATAGCTTTTCCCATATACATATGGTGAGACCATATGTTGTGCGATGGTGAGGACCACTGGTTGTTCGGCAACACGACTTTAGTTGAATTTCTCGCTTATAGGCAAGTATCTCATTTTCCTGACTTTATTTATCCGTGGCTTAACGCTCCATACGGTATATTCTTTCGCAACAATTATAGGAGGTTAAACTAATATTTCAATTCCATCCTGAGGAGCAGTCCATGACATTTCCATTTTTCGATGATACTACTGGCAGCATCTCCAAAAGTCGCTGGAACAAACTATGTAATTGGTGTAACTATTGTTGCACATCATTGGTTCGTATGTTCGTTATCGACCGGCATCATCGCCTTTGCGCAGCTCGTCCTGCCGCGCGCAACCTGGGTTGGTTGCCGGGGCACACCATTTGAGTCGACCGATGGCCTATTGTTACACGGCGCCCGTCTCGCCGTATCCCCAGCCCACACAGGACAGCTGGTGGTCGAATGACGACGAAGCGCCATTGTGGAGTACAAGCGTACTACTGATGATCTTCTTTCTTCACGCCGTATTAATCGACTGGAAACCAGTTTCGAAACGTTCCGCATTTTAGTAACAACAACCTGCCTTACTTTCTCGGCATACCTTCTAATCCAACTCAGCATCTGCAATGCTCACTAAATTTCTCTAGGGATCACGTCAGTCTTGACACGCTTCAATTATCATGAAAAGAACCACTGCGAAACATGCTCCATCTGGATGGCTATCAACCAACTGCTAGCTCGCGCTGCTCCGAATTTTAGTATTCATGGCTTCTCTCCATTTCAGTGTTGTCACTGCTTGATAGTTACTTCTTCCCACGCTTTTAGTTATTTCGCACTTTAGGAATTCATCGCATATCGACGTAGTCAAATAGCCGTCAGAGAACCGGATAACTCTCTCATCACTTCGGGGCTTGTCAGCATGGCCTATTTCATCTGTTTCCTGGAGCGCCCGAACCAGGGATTAAGATCACTGGTTCTAGCCATCCCAAGAACCGGATGGAATGTGTAATGCCGGCGAGTTTTAAAAGAAACAACCGTTCATTGCTTTTCTGGACTCTTTCTAACCGTCTGACTGTCTTTTCGTAGTGAGTCCAGTTCACCTGCAGCATCTGAATTCCCGCACCAGTTTCGTGCAAATCGGGAATCGTTTTGGCTTGGTTACGCATCACGTACTACTCCAACCACGGTCAACGGCCTCTCGACGAATTAGCTGATGACATACTCCATCCGTCACATAAATTGATAATTAAATAAATCTTCCGTATTGCACTGTTAACCGATTTGTATCAGCACCCGTGGGATTGAAGATTGGATCACGAACCGTATAGCAAAAGCTCTGGGCGCTTTTACTAATCTTCGCCACTTATGGCGCCGGCGCGACATCACTATTGCCCTGAAGGGTAGCGTACAATGCAGTGGTACGTTCGACCTTACTGTACGGTTGTGAAACCTGGCCCCTTAAAGCAGCGGACCTGAAGAGGTTAGTTACGATTGACCACCGGTGCCTTCGTAAGTTAGCTCACATCTGGTGGGAACACCGCGTGAGCAACGAGCGTGTTCGACGCCTTGTTTACGGCACCGGAAAATGGAATGAACCGCTCAGTACAGTTATTTCACGCACCAGGCTTTGATGGCTCGGCCACGTGTTACGCATACCAGCCCACCGACTCCCGGGACGTGCCTTGTTTGCGCGCCGGGGATGTGGATGGAAGAAGAGGAGGGGTGGCCATGCGATGACTTGGTCCAGAGAAATGAAGGCTCTCACTTCGGAGCTTTCCTCGGTTGGAGCGTCTCGGCTCCCTGGTTGGGGTCCGAAAGACGATGAACACGTTTGGTTGGACACACTTGCTGATATGGCTAGGAGCCGACCTCAGTGGCGTTCGTGCTGTGAGTTTCTTTGTCCCACCCCATCCCTCTTAGCCTCCCCCTCCAACCACGGTCTCATTAGTTAGCCTTATATAATTTTACATAGTAACTTTTTTTGGTGCACAGCAGCCGGCTGGTAGCTTACCGGAACGATGCCCATCCGTTACCGGTAGTTCAGCTGGCTTGCACCAGTTGCATTTTTTCTCCTTTTTTCTTCTATGTATTGCTGCACAGTAGCTGCTGAGGTGTTTCCCACCTCTAGCTAACGTGTATACTGACGATGATGATGATGATTTCTTTCATTAGGCACTACACTATTTCTCTTACTAGGGTTTTGAATGAATTTGTCATTTTGCCTTATCTCTTTGGTTTTCTTTTCCATGTTTATAGTGGCAAGTATGCATTTCTTATGGTGTCCCCGGAGGCTCTGGTCGGATCAGATTGGCTCTTGCAGCCTGCTCGACTTCCACCTATCAGCTTTGTGTGCATAGATGAAGCGCATTGTTTGGCTGATTGGTCACATCACTTCCGACCGTCTTACTTACGAGTGTGCCAGCTACTACGAAATTGCCTAGGCGTTGATTGCTTTCTAGGTAAGAATGCTGTTCTTTATGGCTATAATGCGCTAACGGTATGTTGTTTCCCCACTTTATATTATGGTCCAAAGTAACGGTCAAGATTTCATATTGGCTCTTAAAAGTTAACATTTATTCTGATTTGCTATTCATCATTATTCGGTGTAGCATTTCAATCAATTGGCTCTTATGCGAATCTTGCAAGCGTGTGTTACATATATGTTAGTCATATGTTTGTTACACATGTTCGACCAATATTCCCTTTAATGGTTCGAATCATGACTTGTGTATCGCCCTTCACCATACAGCAAATCCATTCTTCAAAGCTGGTCGTGTTTACCTGTTCCATCCGCGGAATTACTTACACTCACGCTTTTGACAACTCTGCTTTGTTTTACTTCACCAAGCCATATAATAATCAAGATCATGTTAACCTAAGCTCGCTTTACTCTAAAATCCCTGTGTTTCTACTCCCCTGAACAAGTCATAGGAAATAAACTGAAGCAAATCTACTAGAGCATCGTGCTGAATGGAGGGTCGTTCTACGGAAGAAAACATTACGGATCATGAGTATACCCATCATACTTAGTTCAAATATTCGATCGTTTGTGAGCAAAATAAATGAGATTATAACCAGTCTGCTCTCGTGAATACTCGAAGCTAGGCGTAATTATGCTCAAGAGACCTGGCTTTATGAGGATGTGGACGACACAGTTGTAGCTATCGAGGGAATCATTTGCCATCGTGCCGACCGGAAATGTACTTACCGCAGCTGTGGCGGAGAAGTTATTACTTATATCAATCCGTCATGGTACATGTCATCAAAATATATGTTTCACTCCTATTCGTCGCGCATTAACTTTCATTTTGCGATGTAAGCCAAGATGCTTAAGTGGCCACCAATCGATTTTACTGTCAAATATATACTTTTCCCCTAGCTGCCCCACCTCTGAAGCAGAGGAATTTTACGATCAATTCACTTCAGCTGTCATCGACCACAGTGGTTGTTCTCCCTGCATTTTTGCTGGTGATTTTAACACATTTGACACTTCTCCCTGATATCGCGTTATAAAATGTTATAAGCACTCCCACTAGGCTTGAAGCAACCCTAGATCTGATATTTGTAAACAATGCGAAGTTATATTTTATGTGTGCTGAGGCACCGATTGACAACTCTGGTCATGTTATCTCCTGTCTTATACAGCAAAATAACTCACAAGGAGCTCACTCGCTGTAAAGATCGTATGCTTAATAGAAGACAATTTTCACCTCAGGACGTATATCCACTCCGAAATATGATTGCATCTACGGACTTTAGTATATTCCTTGACAGTAACTTATTTACGTACTGGCCAGTTAACGAGCTATCTCAACTTCTATTTCGATACCTGCTGTTCACTGGAAACGATATATCTGTGCTGATCGGTTTCCGTCTCCATGATAAAACGCCTGTATAGACTCAAAGATAAAGCGTTCTGCAGAAAGATCACGTTGCAGTGAAGTCCGTTTCTGTTTCTATCAAGTTAGTTGCGCCGTCTAAACCATTTATATGTCCAGACCATTCTCAGAAACAGTAACTGTCGAGAGGTCTGGCGGATGCTGAAACACCTTAGTAGTGTCCCTCACCGAGTGTCAACTCGAGACGTGGATCTTGAAGATTTGAACCGACAAACTCTGATGTCAAATAGCACTTGCGACTTTCCAGGGACCCAGACGCCGCCGCTTCTGGCCAAGCTAATGTTGGGGTTGCACTGAGTGACAGGGCTGAGGTCGCTTTGCTTGACTGGATCTCAGTCAACAGTCGGCTATGTGCAGTCAGACTACGAGGTTCATGTAAGTTAAGTAAACGTCGAGATGTTACGCGTGCCTTGTTTATCATCTCCGTCTACGCTCCTACGGATGCAGTCAAGGTTTGCTTTTACCTACAGCTACATGAGCTCCTGCGTTCCGCTGAAAAGTATGACATTGTCATTCTTGCCGGAGATTTTAACGCACGAGTGGGCGGCCTGCCACCAAGCGAGCACCATCTTGGGGGTAGTTTTGGTCTCTGTAGAAGCCGATCAGACAATGGAGACAGACTACTGACTTTTTGTTCTGATCATCGCTAGTTTCTTTCGAGCAGCAGTTTTCGTCATTCGAGAAGCAGACTGCTACCCGGCGTCCGCATTCTCAAACACAATAATGGTCCCAGCTTGACCACATAGCAATAAGCTACAGATGGCGCAGAAGCGTAAGAGACTGCCGATCATACTGATCAACTTGTCTGGACTCCGGTCACGCACTGGTTCGCGCCAAAATCTGTAGGCATTTTGGAGGACCATCCAGATGTACGCACTACGGACCGAACGTCGAAAATCTGCAACATCCTGCGACGTTAGCCAAGTAACAGGCTTCTCTGTCAACACTACTTGCTTCATCCTCTGACGATGGTCTCAATTCGCAATAGATGCGCATCAAAGACGCTTTAATTTCTGCCAGTACTGTCAGTTGTGGATTTGCTTGTCGCCCCGCCGAAAAGCTGGATCACCACTGCCTCCTTGTCGCTGATGGACAAACGCCGCTTGATCCCAGCCGATACCAGCTGTAGTGAGGAACGCCGATCCCTAGATCGAAAGTTGCGTAGTTGCTTACAGAAGAACCGTGAGACCTGGTGGTGTGAACATGCTACAGAGCTTGAACTTGTTAATCTCTCTGGTAATACCAAAAAACTGTTCCACCTCATCCGAGTCACCGAATACTTCCGATCAGGAGCAAGCGAAACAATCTGCGAAGATGATGGCTCTCTAATCACTTATCTTCAACGACGGTTGGAGCGATGGGCCTAACATGGGCCGCCAGCTCCATCTGTTTCCCGTGGTGCGCGCTCTGGTGATGAGCGCACTATCCCAACTGATCCTCCTTCTCACCATGAAATCTGGTGGGAACTCTGCTGCCCTGATGGTCTGCCTTCTGCTCTATTTAAAGATGGGTGTTCTTCGCTGGTTCGAGAACTCGCCGCTTTGTTCTCATAAGTCTGGTCAAAAGAGGAGGTTCCATCATCCTGGAGTGAGTCGATAGTCGTCCTCATCTCCAGAAATTGCTCCAATTACAGGGGCACAAGTTTGGTTCCCGTCGTTTGCAAGATTCTGGTGTCCACCATTCTTCACAGGCTATCCCCAACGCGTAAATCACTACAGCAAGAAGAACAGGCTGGATTCCGCCTTGGTCGCGGCTGAATCGATCAGATTTCTCGAGTTCCGCCATGTGTATCAAAAGCCAACGATTGTTGTGTTCCTGGATATCCGTGCTACCTTCGATTCTATCGACAGGGCTACATTGTGTCACTGTCTGTTGAGGAATGATATTCCCGTCTTCATTCTCGTTTCCATTCTGTGTGCTCTGTATAGTCTGACCTCAGTTAGAGTTAAAGCTTATGGCAAACTTTCGCCTTCCTTTGTTGTCACCATTGATAATGTCCTCAAAAATGCTCTAGAAGACTTGTAGAACGCTGGCGTTATGCTCCTCCCAGGTAGTCGAATTGTTGAGTTGGATTATGCTGATGATATCATTTTACTGGGTGACGATCCACACGCCGTCCAACTTGCACTAAACCGCTTGGCGATTGAAGCTTCAAAGTATGATACGTACTTTTCGCCACCCAAATCAAGTCTCTTTCAAGACTGACAGGTGCCTGTGCCTGCACTCTTGGTGCTGAGACACTGGAGGTTGTGGAGAGCTTTGTCTACTTGGGAAGTTTCATCACTGCTGGCGGGACTGTTGGAGACGAGATTTCGATGCGTAACTCAAGAGCCTTTTCCAGGCTGAGACATTTATCTCGCCGCCATGACATCCGTCTTTCCATTAAAGGACGGGTTTATAGTGCTAGTGTCTGCGTTGTACTGTTGTGCGGTTGCCACACTTGGCCTGCTTGTACCGATGACCTTCATCGACTGTCTATCTTCGAGAACCGTTGTTTTCGGTCCATCGCTCGAGTGTAGTAGCTGAACCACGTAACCAACGCCAAAGTCAGACAGCGTGCCTTGTGTGGGGACAACCACTCTCTCGAGGCGCTTGTTTCGCTGTGCCAACTACAATGGCTCGGACACGTACTGCGTATGCCCGTTCAGTGTCTTTCGCGTGTGCCTTGTTCGCGGTCGCTGGACAGGGTTGGAGGAGGCGATGTGGTGGACAGCCTACAATTTGGAGAAGCAGGGTGAACAAGCTGATAGAGCAGCTGGCAACGGTGGGTTCCTCCCGACTCCCTGGATGGGGTCTCAAGGATGCTGAATGCAGTTGGTTGGAAACCTTGGAAGTCAAGACTCGAAACCGAACTCAGTGGCGGGCGTGCATCTCTGCTTGTTGCGGTGATCATCCCTCTCCCAATAAAAAACATCAAAAAATTGAAAACGGTGAGTGGAAAATGGTGTATATATATATATATATATATATATATATATATACCACTGTGCAGACATTCAGTTAAACTTACAAACTTACGCGGGCAACCAAACTTACTCAACACAAGCCACAATGCCTTGCGGTTCACCGTATCAAATGCCTTGGTGAAATCAACAAAAAGCGAGCACAGTGGTTGATGTCGTTCTCTGCACTTCTCCTGCAACTGACGAGCCGCAACCATCATATCTATGGTGTGCGACCCGAACGGAATTCACACTGCTCTTCCGCCACATTAGGTTCCACAACCTGACTGACGAGGCGGTTGAGCAGGATTCGGGCAATTGCCCACACAACTCAGCAAGTTTATACCACGATAATTCGTGCAACATTGCTTGCTCTCTTTGTCCTTGTACAGTGGTAGCACAGGGGCATCCTTCAGCTCAGGATGCACCTCCTCCTCAATCCACAGTCGTTGCACCAAACGGTGCAGCGCAGTCACCAAGGCGGGTCCGCCGTGTTTCAATAATTCAGGCGAAATCCTGTCGGTTCTGGCACACTTGCCGTTTCGCAACTGAGCAAACGCTCTCTGCCTCTCATCCATTGTCGGCGTGTCCGCCAGACTCGCCTTCACCTCGTGCTCCTTAAGGCCGTTCAATGTAGGCCAGTCGATCTCTGAACGGTTAGTTCAACAGGCAGTCAAAGTGTTTTCGCCAGATCTGCACTATGTCTGCAGTCTGTGCGCAGGTAGCACCTGAATTACCATTGAGCAGCGTGCTCAGCGGCTCCAATCTCGGTCCATACATCGCCTTATTCTTTCTACCGGTAATTAACTCGAGCGAGCACTCAACGGTGTTTCTGTTTCACTTAAACTCATTGGCAATCCATACATGAACATGTGCTCTCTTCGATCTTCAACGATTAAGTATCCGCCTGCTTCTTAACACTTGCATACAACTTCCTAAACGTTTGTGTACTCCCTCTTTGCACTTTTCCATCTTCACCTAGGCCTATCAGCTACTTGTACCCCTTCGACCGTGACCAATGTGTGCCAGAATTTGGGCATTCGTGAGGCCAAGCGGCTTACAGGCGACGTTATCGATGAATCGAGTCTCACACAGCCGTGTTATGTTCAACCAATTTTGTCCCCAATCCCCTCTCATTTATGCATCACCGCCTCCATGGATGCGGATCGCGATCAAGGCTTGCTGTATCTACTCACCCATCCACCTTTCAGTCAGCTCAAGGGTGGCATATTGATCTACTGCACCACGAGAGAACAAACTGAACGCTTGGCGTCCTTTATTCGCACTGCGTTGCAGGGTGTCGTGGACCAGGTGAGGTGAATATTTTCGGTGGGTCATGTAACAGTTGACAGTTCTTCTAGTTTCGTGCGTATTTTTTCCTCTTCCATCTTACGTTTGCTCCCACAACACTGGGTCTATGATCGCTGATTTTGCTTGGCTGAAAATTGCAAATCTTCATTTACACTTTTTATAACCAAGCCGTATCCTCTGAGGCTGGACTGCTAGATATATTACTGCGTGGGCATCTCTTGTCCGCTGATGGCATCTGTCCCCGCATTGCTCTGGACGATATAGTGTTGAACTGCGTTAACTACGCTGGATGTTGATTAAATATGTTTTGTGACTCAACTGAGTGGCGCAACGAGGAGGAAGTCGATGTAAAGTGAAAAGAGTGCAGAAATCCATCCCGGACGAGAGCTTCTGGGACTACCAGATCAGCGACTACTAACGCTATTTCTTTTACTCCCTTGTCCCTGATTCTCAATTCTTCTGACGATTGTGAAAATACTTGACTGTTCCGAATTGGTTTTTCCGATTGTTTTTCACCACCATCTCTCCGATAGTTTTTGAGCATTATTATCATAACGGTATAGTTAACCTTTTGTGTCCTGGCAGTACTTATAAGTACCACTTTGTTTAAATTGTAATACTACTACGGCGCAGGCGTCATTCCTGCCGGTACTCGCGAGGATACGTACAAAAGCCTTCTGTCAACAAGTAAGTAAGGGTCAGAACTCCGCTACTTTGCTGTACAGTGTGTGGAGTGAAATTTTGTGGTTCATGTTGAGCTAATGGTAAATTAATTCAGGACTCAAAGAGTTAAAGCAACTAGATTCACCGCACCGTTCCTGTATAACCAAATGAAACCCGAAATACAGCTGTTCCATGCTATTAACGTAATCGCTGATTATCGCATTTTCTCATCTGTCCTACTCCACGTTGCGTTATTTTTCGCTACGTTCCACCTTTCACAAACAAGATTGGAAGGCGACATCTATCATGGAGCACTGCAGCTTATCACGCCGGTCAAGCAGCGGCAGAACGGGCGAGAGTACAAAAGCGCTTTATGTCCGGCAGGGTCCGTGTGTTGGTGGCCACCTCCGCTTTTGGGATGGGATTAAACAAACCCGATTTGCAAGCCGTCATCCACTATTCGTTGACAAAGTCGTTTGAGAACTATGTGCAAGTGAGTAGCGTCGTTTTATGCACGGTGTCTTTTAAATCGGGTCGGCACATATGCGGAACTCCGTCTGCTTCGTCGTGTTGACCATTGCTATCTTCGGTACTTAACTACTAACTGGAGAAGCAGTTGGCACACGGTTTCTTCAAAAGAGCACCGTACTTAGCAAGGGTTAACCTAATTGGTTACCATTCGACCAAGTTCAAGTTTTGCCACTTCCGCTTACCTGTTAATCCATCTGATTTTCACACTAGTACATCCTATCCTATCTGTCTTACCGTGACGATGTTCGACCTATGAAGGCTTCCACTCTATATCCTTGCCTGAAATTTCCCCCTCATTTTCGCTCTTGCCTTCGTCGTGATGAGTTTGTACCTTAACGTTGGGCTATGATTTCCGTGTATCTCATTGTGTTACGCTGAGTGATACTTCTTAGCGCTACTCGTACCAGACAGGTAAAAAGTTAGGGATAAACCAGTTTTAACACCCCTCAGACGCCTGAACAAAACAATAAGAAGATGAGCACTTCAAGATGACACCATTTCTTGTTATCTGATCACTTGCAAATTAACGTAAGGAAAGAAAACGATCCTTTTGAATTGGTCAGAAAAAAGTGAACACAAACACAAAACAACAGCAGGTAGCGCCGGGGCAAAGGTCATGAACCCCCAGGAAGCGTAAGGGCTACTGTCAGTTGCTTTTTTGCACACACAGAGTGGGACGGTAACGATTTAGGAATTCTCGAAATAGTTGTATTCAGATTATCCTGTCGAAATGTTTTTCTTTCTTACTATTTTAAAATTTGTGGAGGGACAGTTTCATATGATAATTTGTTTCAGTTTTCATTCCTGTCCCTAGGAAATTGGTCGCGTTGGGCGAGCTCAGCAAACCTCATATTGTCATGCCTTTCTGCCACCAGGCTTGGGCTCTGATCCCCGAGAAAGTAACGAATTACGACGCCATATTTTCGAAAATCACATCGATGTGGTTGTTATTAAACGGTTATTGAAGATGCTTTTTGAAGGAGTCAAATGTACCTGCAGAACCGCAGGCCCTTGTCCAGGTCATGTGCACGCAATCAACCCATTGACCGTTGCTGAAGCACTCGACCTGAAAACGGAGAGCCTGGCAACGATTATGGCATACATGGAGTTAGATCCAGCGGGACCGCTACTTTCAATTCTCCAACCCGGATATGCGGTTTGTTTTCGTGCTTTCCGAATAGAGTAGTTTTTTATCGCTTGAAATATCCACTCCATCCTGCCACGTGTGCCCGCTCGAATCGCGGACAAAGAGAGCGTTATCCGAGTGAATAGACTATCACGTAGTCCACACATATTACAAACCACCTCGAAGCCGCCTCTTCACTAATTCATCACAGAGCTCCATCATTTCGCTCAACCAATTGCTGTAAGTTGCATGGGTCTTGTTTGCAGTTACGTCTGTTTGATAACATCACATTTACCTGAGTGTTAACCATAGAGTCTACACAGTAGCGGTAAGTGAAAAGATGTTTCAATCACATTCATCTTAACTCCGAAGTAGTGATGGGCCTCATCCGAGTGATCGTCGAACCGCGGTGGATCAGTCTTAGTGAAACGTCTGTTAATGAAGAAAGCGCGATATGTAAACCGCTACTTTTTGCTTGTGTCTCGAATGCAGTTCCAAGGACGAGAATGACCATCCACTTGGAACTGAATCGTCGCACGTGGACTCATTGCTGCGGATCCTATTCGTTTAGTTTATCTAACTGGCAATCCAAAGAATCTGAGCTCGGTTCTCGGTAGCCGCTTTGCAGCGGCACCTACCTTGGCTTGAACGACTTGGTCATATCCTGCTCGCGAGCAACACTTTGTAGTTGTGTTGTGCTCTGAGCATAAATGTTAAACCGCCTTAGCATATTATTGTCGCAAAGCTTAAATTAGTGGCGCTATCCTGTCTAACACCGTGGAAACTTGTACAGTGGACGCACCTATCATGATAGTCTGTATTGGTAATCGGACTGTCAGGTTACACAAGTTGAAACAGAGTGATTAACCAACCATCACCTTATATGTATCTTGAACAAAATTCCCAACGGCCTGCAGCTGATTCGCGAAGAAAAGACTGGTCTGTGTAATTCTTATCTGGTCATCTGAGCCAAACGCGTTGAGACAGCACTATCCCGATTTCCTTGCCGTTTAGTCGCGCATGTTCGGGTTAGTTTTATGGTGATATGAGTTTTTGTGTTTTGCCGTGTGCAAATAAACTCCCAAAAGGCCGTTACAACACACTAGTCATTAGCAAATCAATCACCACTTCACTAGTTTTCAGATACATGTTCAGGTCTTTTCACAACACAGATATCTTTTCGATAATCAAATACGTGTCTGACAACAAGTGACGTTCATAGGGTTGACCGATTTCTCCATTTTTCAACTTCGTGTTCCCTGGCAGCACCTCACGACGCAGTCGTTGAGGTGACGATGAATTGGCTCAAAAAAGTCAACAGAATTTCACGTGGCAAGGATACATGCTCTCATTCGAAGGTGAAACATTGCTGTTGAGAGAAACGGTGACTATGTTGTGAAGTAGGGATACCATCCACAAAGGACCAGCTTCATTTGGATATAGTATACATGTTCCTGTGCTGATAACTGTACCTGTCCTAAAGAAGAAGACACATGTGTGGTCACCGCTTACCGAGGAGGTCTTCGTCTTGTTTGTCAGATGTAGGGTGTTGCAGGGCCCGAGGTGGGAAAAAGTTAACTTTGTTGCGCAAAATGACGTCATTGACGACCAAACTCGGTGCCTTCGATTCGGCTTGCCTTCCAGGCCTTGTGCTTTGCTCTAGACTTTATAGGGCATGGCTCAGCCGGCACCAGTAGTTTGCCTGCTGTCGTTTCTTAGTCGGACTGCATGTTTGGTGGAGTTATCTTCGGAGTAATGGCTGATTATGACGCGGGATATTGAAAGCCGCAAGGAAGCTGTCTCGCCGATGCCGCCTTATCTCTGCACGGTGTGTTGTTGACACAAAGGCACAAGGAATAGCCGCGTTACAGGTCAAAGTGCCGCTTCAGTTGATACCTTAGAGATGGAAATGTCCCACGTGGTCCATGTTATAACGTAAGTCCCTGTCAGTGATGGGAGTAGTTTCCTCTTCACTCCGTGACGCGGATCCGTTTACCGACACTTAGAGTGGCCAAGTTAAGACAGACCACTACACATCCGACAGCTCCATGCTGTCCATTATGTTAGTTTTGAGGATTTTCGCCGCCTCGATCACCATAGTGGTCAGTGAAGTTAGTGACTTGCTCGCTTCTCTTGCACAACCCCTGCTCAAATGAACGCCGACTGGATTAAAATTTGTTAGGGTTGTCCAATTAAGTCGTTTATTGCTGATGCGTGTGATTCTGTATTTCGTGTAACGTGATAATTCCACTTAGCAGTAGGCGAACCACAAACAGTTCACACTGGTGTCATTTCCGCCGCCATTATATCGTGAATTAGGTCACTAAACTCCCGTGCTACATTTTCAGTCCATCTTTCGCATCAACTCGGCCGAATGGCATCCTAAATGCATTGCACGTTTCCTGCTTGCTACCTTTTGGATATCCTCTGCTAGGCGTTACACTATGTTATTTTCTAATAGACAGGCCATTTAAGCATACCAGATTCGAACTACGATTAAACGTCATTTCCTCTCAATAGATTTGATTCATTCATCCTTATATTATCACTGCAAGCAGCGGTCAACATCCGCGAGGTAATTAACATTAATACATCTGCGTAGTATATGATATCGTTTTTAGACTATATCTCGGGATATCGAGCTGCGTGTTTTACCTTGTGTCAAGTTAGAGATGTAGAACCTAACGAAGTTTGTAGTCATTGAATGTAATTCAGGTGAAAGTGGCTGCTTCTTACAAACCTAAACGTTCATCGCACATTGCTCCCGATAGCAACAGGTAAATGATTGTTACATGCTCAGTATGGCATCAGCGCAACCACAGGTTTGCACCTGAGCTGGTATCTTATGCTTTAAGTATAGTTTTTTTATTTTTTATAGGTTGTCTCGGTTGATTGTTATGGCGGACCGCAGGAATTGGCATATGCTTCGCAGCGCTGTATGGCAGTGGCCGCAAGTCTTGGAATAGAGGTCGAGCGTATCGGTGAGAGTTCAGTCGCTGATCTAAGGCAACTCACGATAAATTTAATCGAATTGTGCAATCGGTGGGGTTGGCGTCCGAACATAGTACGACAGGAATTACAAGGCCTCGAGTGGGACTCATCATCGTCGCCATACCGTACCGGGATCAAAGTCAATCCATCAGAATGGAGCTGGTGGTTTTGGGTACACGGACCTTGTTTTCCCTTCTCTTCCGAGCGGCTGGATCAGTGTTTAGCCTACTTGGAAACTCGTCTCCGGATGGTTGAGGCCGCTGGTCTGGAAAGCATTGATCGATTAACCCGAGCTCTGGCGAGTGTCGCTGATGTGAGGGCTGAAAAGCTGTATCCGTTCCCAAATACGGCTGAAGAATCGGAGCGAATTGCGTCCGCTAAATCCAACAAGCTGCTAGAGCGATCAGCTAGAGTGCACCATCTGATACAGGCTCATTTCATCGGCGGAACGGATCCTGATGGTGCGGATGAACCTCTGGCCAAATTTCAGTGGCCTCCACCGGTAACTGACGCTCAGGTAGGTGAATATAAGATTTTCTCTCACTCGAATCGTTTGATTCTACTCCTCTTTAAGTCTACGACGAGTCCTTTAGTTTTTTCCATTTTCCTTGTCTCCCTCAACTTTGATATGTTCATATGTCCCATCTTCAATCCTCTGTGTCAGCTCACGTATGTCGAATGGATTTGTTGATCAAATCTAGATAACGAATTGTCTATTCGCACCTTGCCAACATAGGCTATTGTTTCTAAAGGGATCGCCGAAACTAGGGCATACAGATATGCTGCATATGGAACAGAAAGCGCAAACGGCCTCGTCAAGTTTGATACCCGCAAGCAGATATTCTGAACTTTACTTGTTTTTCCCTTCATCCCTCTCCATAGATCTTATCAGTACGAAATATCATACGCGAATTTATCCAGATTCACGGACACAGTCAAGGAGATTATCTTACCGGACGCACATTAGCCAATATTTTACATGGTGTGCCAACGCCACAATTTCCTATTCGCACCTGGTCTCGCGTCCGTCGTTTCTGGAGAGCACATTTGGATGTAGATTGGCCAACAGTTAAACAGATTGCAACAGAAGAACTCCTTCGGCACATTTAACGTGTGTAAACACTTGCGCATGCCTCTTTTTTAGTTATTTATAAGTGTTTTGTGATCAGATTTGTTCATTTGCTCCCTTTACCATGGTATACGTCTTCTAAAATACACCAGAGTACTTTGTGTGTGTGTGTGTGTGTGTTAACTTCGTAAACATGAGGGGTTTGTGACTGATGGTATATGCGTACAGAACCAGCCAACGCTGATCCGAAAGCATCGTAAGCCTTTCAATCTCTTATAATCAAATCTTATTTTATTCCTTATTATATACTCTGCATTTCGGCGGTAATACTAGCCGTCAATCGACACATCATGGCTGAGACTCCTGGGTATGTGGTCATACCGAACATATTTTTCCGAATTAATATACTTCGTCGATTCATCTTCCATAAAATTTGCCCTGCATGCTGAAATTATTAGGGCGCATGATGCGCAAAAATCACCTTGCTCCTACACCGTAGAGAGTACTGTGTTGCTGAATGGGAGCGAACACAATTACTGTCCTAGTACTTGTTGCGAGAACAGCCGGTGGGCCGCACAAACGCTCCGCTGACACGCGGCCCCTGTCATTCACTTCAAAGCTGGCCTCAGTTGGAGCGTCTCGGCTCCCTGATTAGGGTCCGAAAGACGATGAACACGTTAGGCTGGTCGGCTAGGAGCCGACCTCAATGGCGTTCGTGCTGTGAGTTTCTTTGTCCCACCCCATACCTCTTAGCCTCCCCGTCCAACCACGATCTCACTATTTAGCCTCTTATAATTTTGCATAGTAAATTATTTTTTCTGCTGCATAGTAGCCGGCAGGTAGCTAAACAGAACGATGCCCATCCGTTACCGGCAGCTCAGCTAACTTGCATCTGTTGCATTTTATTCTCTTTTTCCTTTTAAATATTGCGGCACAGTAGCTAATGTGTTTAATGATGATGATGTCCCCCACCATTCGCGCGCGGGCTAGGGATGCTGCGAAGTCCTCCACACAGTTTCGGACTGGTGGCCTTCGGGTTACGAGCTAGATGCACTATATCAGCCAGCCAGCCGAACGAGGCGAGTGGGAGTACTCCTTATGGCGTTTTTACTATCTACGGCTTTATATATATATATATATATATATATATATATATATATATATTTCGTTCCAGTATATTTGGTTAGTTTTGCCTATCTGAATAGTCTTCTATTAGCTGGCCACGTCGCTTACGCTAATTGCGCTTATCTTCGGTTATTTTGTTGCGTTTGTAGCATTTTTGAGTAACTTGTGGACATTTTTTCCTTATCGCGGATTCATTGCTAACCAACTTACTTCATATGCTAATTTAGCGAAGAGTTATGCCACCGTATCTGTATGCATTATTGGAATTATGTTATTTCATTTTGTCGTTTAAAGTGATTGACTGTTGCGTGCTATCCCCAGTGTGGCTGCGCTTGATGTGCATGTTGACAAGGTGCCTACCTGTCTATTACCCACTACCTCGTCCATACTGGCTCCAGGAGACAGTTGATCGTTGTTGGAGGGGACGGGGTGCACGGTGCTTGTGGCCGTGCTAGGCTCGAAGAATGGTTCCATGCACTCAGTGTGGAGCGGACTACGGTCCAGCCACCGCCTTGTGTGCGCTTGATTCCCCAAATACAGTGTGCTTGTGTTTGCCTGTGAAGGAGTGTGGGCCGGCTCCGTTGATGAAACGTGGTTCCCATCCGCATGCCTCCCGGTCTTATTCCTTCGGGTTTACACTGGATATGGGGTGTGTGGTTGGAGCTGTGGGTGGTGCAGCGCAAGCCACCCATGGTCCCTCTTGGCGCAGGCGTCCTGTGGCTGGCCACAGTGACAGGCAAATCCGAAACCGGATGCCGTCAACCATATATATATATATATATATATATATATATATATATATATATATATATATATATATATAGAGAGAGAGAGAGAGAGAGAGAGAGAGAGAGAGAGAGAGAGAGAGCGTAAATTGGTCGCGTTCCCTCCTGGCTACCAAGCGGTTGTCGCTCACAATATTCCACATTCGTTCGTGCATTCGATTGAACAATTGGGTGCAGTGATCAACAATTATCCCTGGAGCCCAAGTACTCTACAACCCTTCCTCGCTTTGGAATGCAGTTTAGAAATTCGGTGTTCAAGACCCAACAAACTTGGTTGCAAGTGTCATAACGTTGGCTCGTCCGTGTGGAAACTGGGTAATCCCGGCAAGTCTTTGACTAGCAATTAATATGCTGATGTTAATGCTACATTTTCTCTCATATATTAGTCACAAGAATGAGTGTAGCTATATTTCCCGTTGTACGTCACTCATACTGAAGTTAGGATAAGTCACCTGTTATCGAGATAAGGTGCGGAGGAGCAAAGGTTCCTGCTATAATCTAAATTAGAAATGGCCAATCATCTAGATTGACTTAAAAGTAGGTTAGTCCAACTGTGGTGGTACAGTAGTGTTTGAATAAATATTTTTAATTGGAAAATAAATCCAGCACAGAAAAAATGCTTTGTTGCGAAGAATAGCTGCAACCAAGATGTATGATGACAGATTGTTAGTGAATTGTAAGCAGTAAAATTACGATGAGAAATCCAGTTTGCATGGGAATATCATACGTTCAGCTAACCACATCTGCCGAGGCTCTTGATACCCATTATTTGTCTACCCTCATATGATTAACTATGTAATGCTCAATGTTTTCATTTCAAATCACACCATGGGTATGGAGGTTTACTGGTTCATTGTATTCCCAGACATGTCTAAGTGGTTCCATTCCAAACCCCGCTGTGAAGATACCATCGTGTCCAGGTTCCCCACGACATACTCATTTGAGATATTAGACAATTAGATGTTGTGCATGGTACTTCTTGTAAATTTGTTAAAATATTTTGCACACTCCTTCGAAATCCGATGGTAGAACAGGGAGCAGCAGTATTGATGTGATAGCCTCAAGGGGGCCATCAGGAAATGTATGATATTATCGTTTACTAACGCTTATAGCAGACAGCATCTACAATGCACAGGAACCATAAGTCATCTGTGTTTTACGGTACATTTAGTTGTGCATCATTCTATCTGGTAACCATACTGATGGCATTTGCCTCCGTATTTCCATATCTGTCTCAATATATTGTTGATACCCACATTTCTGACTAAACTTAAGGCTGCCGTTTAGGTTCACACCCAAACGCTAACTAACCACTGACAGTCGTATTGGTTACTTATAATTCTACGTGCGATTTTCTAAAACTAAAGGAATATGGCTGTTATTCTTTCATTCAATCCAAACTCATGCACGTACGTAGTGTTATGCTTCATGAGGGTTATTGTTTCCCCATCCAGTTTGTGGTAGTCCATACACAAGTGTGAACAAATGCCCGTTCGCAACACTGCAATACTGCAACTCGAACCAGGGACCTTTCAAGTTCAAGTGGGACTGGAACAATAGGATGAATCCCGTAAGTGTTCCTTCTTGAGCGGGTCGTCGATCCAGTAGTTGATAGGGGTGCTCCGACTTCTTGATGGGTCTAAAATGAAAAATACCCGAAATAACACCCTAGTCCACCAAATTAATGTCCCCGTTCCTTACATCAGCTGTCCCTGCTATGTCAGTTACGTGAAGTAAGAGAGGAAGAAAAATCAAAGGTAAGAGATTAAGCGAAATCAGTTAAAAGAAGAGAATAATACCAATGGCGAGGAAAAGTAAAGAAAATAGAATCGAAGTATGGAGATGGGAATTAGTCAGGAAAAAGAAAGGTTTCGTGTTGCCACTCAAGAGCGTCTAGTTGACGCTCAAACCTCTTAACCGTAGCTTCCTTGACATTTTCTGGAAGCAGGTTCCAGCGCTCGATGGCTCGACGCGATAACCGTGTCTCCGCTCTAACTCCATCGGACCTTTAGTATGTCAACTGAGCTCTCACGTTGAATGACTAAGTGGAAGCCATTTAGAAACAGTTATAAGCACCACACTTCAGACTGATGGCATTTTCACTCGCGTAACACCATTATCTGCTGGCTTGATGTCTAAATGGACTCGCCTAAAGTACAAATCCCGCTAACATCTGTTCGTGTCTCGATACATTCCCACTTGACAGATGGATCTTATTACATTTTGTCTCGTGTGACATCGTGACTTATTGCGGGTTGTAATATGAGGTCAGTGTATCCCATTTCAAGTGTTTCTATACGCCTCCTTGTACTACTGCCGCCTTCAGGTAAACGCACTGAGATTCAGATAAGTCATCAAGGTTGATTGTGAAACAGCGGCAATACGTTGTGACATCCAAATCGAAATGCTTGGGCATATGCAGTATTTCTCACACTGGTGTATTGGTCGAGATATGCTAGCAGTAAGAACGAATGACCAGGGGTAAATAAATAGTAATACATGACGGACTGCCTGGCGGTTCTATATCTCTGTCGTTTCTCGCTCATCTCGGACAAGAGACGATCATAACTGGCTCAGGTTTTACTTTAGGACACGGATAGCTTGCAGTGGACATAATTGCACCATTTCCCTGCCAACTTGGAAAGTTGCTTACTCCATCTCCATCATTTTTTGTGTCATCCTTATTCTATATCCCGCATGTAAGTCGCGCTTGGGTACAGGTTCATTCTAGAATGATTAACTACTGACTTGGTGCAATGTGTTATCTGCATTGCACTTGCCTAGTATGAATGAGTCACACCTAACCTACCTTTATTGAGCTCATTTAACTCGGTTGTATTTCTCGATGAGCTCATCATCATCATCATACACGTTAGCTAGAGGTGGGGAACACCTCAGCTACTGTGCCGCAATACATAGAAAAAAGGAGAAAAAATGCAACTGGTGCAAGCTGGCTGAGCTACCGGTAACGGATGGGCATCGTTCCGGTAAGCTACCAGCCGGCTGCTGTGCACCCAAAAAAATTACTATGCAAAATTATATAAGGCTAAATAATGAGATCGTGGTTGGAGGAGGAGGCTAAGAGGGATGGGGTGGGACAAAGAAACTCACAGCACGAACGCCACTGAGGTCGGCTCCTAGCCATATCAGCAAGTGTGTCCAACTAAACGTGTTCATCGTCTTTCGGACCCCAACAAGGGAGCCGAGACGCTCCAACAGAGACCAGCTCAGAAGTGAGGACCTTCATTCCTCTCG